AACTCTGTATCTGTTCATGTACTCTCTATCCCCAGATAAACTGTATATCTCTGCATGTACCCTCTATTCTCAGATAAACTCTGTATCTCTTCATGTACTCTCTATCCCCAGATAAACTATATCTCTGCATGTACCCTCTATTCTCAGATAAACTCTGTATCTGTGCACGTACCCTCTATCCCCTGATAAACTGTGTATCTGTGCATGTACCCTCTATCCCCAGATAAACTGTGTATCTGTTCATGTACCCTCTATCTGTGGTTTACACGTAAACAGAGCTAACAATTTTTGTCTTATCCTCCCCACAAATCAGTTTGTGCCCCTGTGAGAATGCATGACGTTGATGAAATGGGATGCCATGTTTTAGATTTAGGCCAGAATGAGGGATGACAAAAGTCCCCAGAGGGGCTTAGAACACCAGTCCCAGTGAAGTGGGAATTTGACCCTGCAAAGCGGCTGCAGAGTCTGCATTCCTGCTTGATAACTTGTGCTAGTCCTGTAAAGCCTGAGAGGGACTGTGGCTCAATGTTTCTGTTCTCCTCCCCAAATTCATGTGTTGTCCTCCTAACCTCCAATGTGATATTAGGACTGGGGCCTTGGAAGGTAATTAGGCCATGAGAGTGGAGCCTTCTGATGGGATCGGCACCCTCATTAAAAGACCCAAGAGAGCTTGATTTCTCACTCCCTGCTCTTCACCCTGTGCAGATGCAACGAGAAGATGCCCTTACCAGAACCCAGGTGTGCTGCCGATTATTCAAATATTGTTTTTCTGGAGAAAAAAAGAAAAGCAAATACCAACAAAAATGAGATTTCTTGTTCCCTTCTTGGATTTTAATTGTGCCAAAAGCCGAAACCACATTTTATATCCAGTCCAAAATACAGGAAAAAACATGCCTACAGATGTTGATCTCAGCTTTATTTGTAATAGGATAAAATGCCTTAGTGTTTCACAGTAGAAAACTGGGAAATGACAACCTTTTTATATATAGTATTCTGCAGCCATTAAAAGTGATGTTTCTGAAAAGCTAATAACACTGAAAAATACTTATGTGATAATCTTAGGTTATAATCTAACTTAATTAAAATATTTTAAAAAGCAGGACAAAAATTCAACATTTTGTAGGATTGTTCATACGTTAAAATATGTCTAGAAAATAGAGCCAGAGGAAATAAAATCATTGCCTCAAATTGCCCCAAAGCCCGGGGAACTGCCCATGGCCAGGGAGGGTGAGTCCTGGAAGCCAAGAGGCTGCTGACTCCCAGCCCAGCAGCAGCTGGAACCTCAGCCACCAGTGCCTGGTTTCTCCTTTCATGTTAATCCAGGTCCCAGCGTCTTGTGATTGATGGGAGCAGGGACTCGGGGACTGGCCTCTCCTCTTGGAAGGCAGGAAGATGCTCATGGATGCTGGCCGTGAGGCAGCCTGAGGGCTCTGCAGATCTTTTGTGGGGCTCACACGGGGGCTGGAGCCTCAGCCTCTGAGACCTGAAAATGGAGTTGGCGGGATGGGTGGGGCAGAGAAGAAAGTTCTCGAGATGTCCTGGTTAGTCACCCTGATTCTGGGAAATGCACACTCATGACTGAATCAGGAAGAATCGAGTCTCTTGGCCAGAAATACAAGTCATTATGGCCAGAGAGGAACTAAGCACACACAAATACACATATGTGTGCACCCACAATCACAAGGACCTACGTGCATGATACACACGTGTACATGCACGCTAACTCATTATACATATGAACATGGGTGCACACAACACACCCGTCAACATACACTTATGTACAGATACCCAAATGCACATGTATTGAATCTGATCTCCCTGAATAGGTTAAATCTCTCTTCTTACAGGGCTTTTAGTGTTGGGAACTTTTACTTGATAGCACTTAGTGGTTGATATTTGTGTAATTAGTTGTTGAATGTCTGTTCTACTAGAACGGGGATTAGCCAGCTTTGGCCTGAAGCCTGATTTTGTAAATAAAATGTTATTGGAGGAGATCAGGTGCCTACAGGGTCACATTGCTGTAGATGTGAGTAACTGATCAGGATCAACATATTTTGGTTCATTTGGATGATGAACTTAACAGAGAGCTTCTCTATGCTCTGAAGACTTGCATTTTTAGTGATTTAAGACTTTTTGGGGGCCAGGAAGTGACATATTCTTTGTTATAGGGAAATATTTTTTTTTAAATGCATAAGGAGTTAATGTGAAATACTGTGTTCTTACCAAGTGAAGGCCAAAGGATGTAGAAAGAGCCTCTGTGTAACTTTAGGGATGAGTGGTGGAAGCATCCAGTTACTGCAAAGCATGCCGCCGCGGATCTCAGAAGAATCTGCACGTGTGCAGGGAGCACCACTTTCTCACGGCGGAGGGGAGTGACTGTTCTGCCTTTCTCAGCACTGTGCTCAGCTCAGGGAGGCCCTCCCTAAATGCTAGTTGATGAATGAAGGAGTGAGTCATGAACTATTACATGCTGTGGAGCCTCCTGCTTCTCCCTGTGGGACTGAGAAAGGAGAAATTGACGGGGATGTTGTGTCCCTGGCCCCCTTTGCAGCATAGAGCTTGTTACCTTGTGATGTCCCTTCTCCCATCCTCTTGTCCTGTTACAGCCTTAAAAGGACCCAGACCCCCCCACACGGAAAGAGACAGGTACCTTTGCTGGTCAGACAGGGCTGATATTATTTCATGTTTAAATCAAAGGCTTCACAATTGCTCCAACCAATTTGTAAGGTGTCAAAATGCAATGGAAATAGTACATCCCTAGAGACAGAAAACAGATCTGTGGTTGCTAGGGACTGAGCAGAGTGGGGAATGGCAAGTGACTGCTCATGGGTACAGAGCTTCCTTTCAGGGCAACTCACATGCTCTGGAAGGAGACAGCTGATCCAGTGTTGTGAGAACCTAGAGCGACACAATGGCATCCCCAAGGGGCACGGTTCCTGCTCAGCTCCGAGAGAACCTTTGGTGTCCGAAAGCTCCTTAGCGGTTGTCAGTGTTGCTCTGTTCTGTTACATCCACCCTTCTGGGGAAGTTTTGCTGCCTTCCCGGACCTTCCACAGGCAGGGTTATCAATTCACCACAAGAAGACGCTGTCAGGATTCACACCTAGAACCTCAGAGTTTCCTTTTCTTCCTAAGCGGGAAACGCCTGCAGTGAGCAAGAAAAACCAGTGCAATCTCTGGTGTGATTTCTGCTGAATCCTCTTTTAGGAAGAGGAAGTTAATTTTTTGAAAGATTAGAAAAGAGACCTGACTGGGCATGATGGCTCACACCTGTAATCTCAGCACTTTGGGAGGCCGAAGTGGGTGGATCTCCTGAGGTCAGGAGTTCGAGACCAGCCTGGCCAACATGGTGAAACACCATCTCTACTAAAAATACAAAAAAAAATTAGCTGGGCGTGGTAGTGCTCACCTGTAATCCCAGCTACTTAGGAGGCTGAGGCAGAAGAATCGCTTGAGCCTAGGAGGTGGAGGTTGCAGTGAGCAGAGATTATGCCACTACACTCCAGCCTGGGCAACAGAACAAAACTGTCTCAAAAATAAAGAAAGAAAAGAAAAGGAAACCTTCAAAGAGTTTCCTAAACCAAGCCAATTTTGTGCTTTGTGCCTTGATTCATTATCTGTACATGATGCCACAGAAGAGTCAGATCTGTTCCCCAGGTTGAGGCCAAATGTGTTCAAGTTGTGTTTCTCTTACTCCCCTCCGTGAGGAAGAATGCTGGGGAGCATTGGGAGCTGTGGAGAGTTGCCTGAGATTAAACTTCTTTTTTTCTGGCACAGAAATAGAATTGACACATGGGGAGAAAGTAACAAAAACAGATTTTTAATCAATACAATTACAATGTTGCTAATACATATAGTGATATTTATAAAGCACTAGGCCAGGAACTAGGAAAAATATGTTTTCAATGAGGCCTGTTTAATGCACACAGCAGCTTCTGGAGTGTTTTTACCACTGTTTTGCTGCAGCCTTGAGTGGTCAGTCGGCTGCCCTGAGGCACACAGGTGGCAAATCACAGAGCCGCTGGCGCCTGAGCCAGTGCTTGTCAATGACACTCTGCCCAATGGCATTCACTGCACGTTTTCATTTTCCAGTGGTATGCTGGACCTATCTGAGGATGTGAGATGGGTTACACCTTTTCTAGAGCCACTGGTTTTCCGCATTTACTCATCAGGGCAGCCTCGGTGCTGCTCCAGGCCAAAGGATGTAGAAAGAGCCTCTGTGTAACTTTAGGGATGAGTGGTAGAAGCATCCAGTTAATGCAAAGCAAGCCACCACGGATCTCAGGACAATCTGCAGGTGGGCAGGAAGAACCACTTTCTCACGGTGGAGGGAAGTGACTGTTCTGCCTTTCTTCCAATACATTAAAATTGTCATTTGAATTTTATGAGGTCCCTACATTTGTTGATCTGCAAGTTTCTTCACATTTTAATGTTGCAAGATATCTACATGCAAACATTCTTTATATCTATATGGAGTTTCGTTCTTGCCCAGGCTGGTGTACAACGGTGCAATCTCAGGTCACTGCAAGCTGTGCCTCCTACTGGATTCCAGCGATTCTCCTGCCTCAGCCTCCTGAGTAGCTGGGATTACAGGCATGCACTACCATGCCTGGCTAATTTTGTATTTTTAGTACAGATGCAGTTTCTTCATGTTGGTCTGCTGGTCTTGAACTCCTGACCTCTGGTGATCCACTTGCCTGGGCCTCCCAAAGTTCTGGGATTACAGGCGTGAGCCACTGTTCCCAGCCATAGATATCAATTCTTACTCAGTTCTTGTTGTGGTCAAAAGCGAAGGGAAGGGCAGGATGAGGGGCCCAGCAGCCACATGGGCCAAGTCAGAGGCAGGAGGAGGAGCTGGGATCTGTGACACGTAGGTGGCCTGGGGCAGAGAGAGCAGGTGGGGAGACATCGGGCCAGGAGTGGGGTGGGGAGACATAGGGGCAGGTGGGCTGGCACTGGAGTTTACCATAACTTCTTGATCTTCCCACATTGCTTTTTCAGTTTCCTGGATGATGTTCTACTTGACCTGCCTGTGTCGTCCGTGAATCCTTTCAGGAATTGGCGGGTACGTTTAGTGGGTGGGGGCCCCTCGTCTCTCCCCCACCTCCATTGCTGGGGAGGGACCAGTGGCAGCTGCTGGGGTTGCACTGACCGTTTTGGTTTTCAGGAACTGCGGCGGGCGGCTCTTGGTGTAGAAGAGCTCCATGTTGCAAGAGCTGAAGGATCCTTGTGCTGGGTCGCCTACCACTCCATCGGCAAGCCTGAGGAGCTGGGCTTGTGGTCTTTCCCCAGTACCTGACAAGCCGCCTTGACTGGCCAATGGGAGCAGCCGAGAACTGGGCCAGGGAGCACTGCTGGAGCTGGGTCAGGCTTCCGAAAGGGAAGGACACCTCCTGCGGGGCTGTGTGCACTGGGCACTCCAAGGTTCTTGGAATTGATAGTCATTCTAGGTTTCTTTGCCTTGTCAGTCCTGTTTGTTTCTGTCAGGCTCCGTCTATGGACATTCCTTTTTAAGGCCCTGGGACTGCAGTTGAGGGAAGCGAGGTTTCCCCGAGTCTCCAGGGGCCTCGAGGTGGGCGAGGGGCCTTTGCTACAAGGGCCCCCTTTCTTCTCCTCCTGCCCCTGGTTCTCTACCTGATCGTCCACCTCCATTGGTTCTTCCGGTTCTTCTGCTCTCACCTCCCTCTTCAGGATCAGGGCTGGCACTTGTAGCAAAGGCATTCGAAGTGGAAACTTGAGTCTTAGACGAGGGATCCTCATGGATCTCTCGTGTACGAAGTGGCGTGCAGACAGCACGGGTTTCTCCCTTGAGGGGGACCTCCAAGCCAATGCAGGCAGGTCCCGCAGTAGGGTGCTTGAGTTCGGGGTGAAATTCGAGCTCGATGGAAAACAAGGCCCAAGACCTCGCGGCAGGTACACGAAGAACTGGGAACCGTGTAGGGCTCACGGGGCAGGCACACGCGCAGGAGCTGCGGAAGCCGGCCAGCCAAAAAGTCCGTATGGACAAGAGGAGACGATTGTGGTTGCTACCGCTGCCAGATCCTGCAGCGGATGAAGGAACACAAATCTGCTTAGGACATTTCCCATAGTACACAAGTTGTGCACGGACAAAAAATCACACCAAGAAATGGAGAGGGTACTCCTGAGTCACCCACTAGTCTGGGTGGGCAGCTGGGCTCTTATGACATCACAATGGGGCTGATGACAGAGCAGGGTGTGGGGCAGTGCACAGGAGCCCAGCAAGGGCACCTACAAGTGGAGTCAAAGGGCAAAGGGCAGGGCTCCCCATCCATCCAGCTGGACCCTCCTGCTCCTGGGGGCAGGTATGTGGCCCTGGATGAGCCCCGCTGTGGAGCTGTGGGGCTGTGGGGCATGTGGGGCTGATCTGCCAGAGCCCTTCCCACTTGGTGCCTGGCCCATGCGCTGGCTGGCACCCAGTGGCCATGTCTTGGCTGGCCTTGTCCCCTGGGTTACAGGACCAGACCCTGCTGGAAGCAAAGTACAGGACTAGCTAGATCCTGCCAGGCTCCCCTAGGGCCTCCTCAGTGCCTCTGTGCCGCCTGGAGCCAGGCCTGCCTTCTCCGTTGTGGTCCTGGCCTCGCCGGGCAGGTTTCCGGAGAGGATGCATGCCCCGGTTTGACTGGCTGCCGCCCCTTACCACTTCCCATCCTGGCGGGCAGGGTCTCCACTTTTTACAAATTTGCCTGAGAACTTTCCTCAGGTCATTTGGGTGATCATGACCCAGCCAGGCATTGAACGCAGGCTGTGGGATTCCACACCTGGCACTCTGACCTGTGTGCCTCCTCATAGTGGATACAGCATGTATTAATTTTCCTGTAGTCCTAGGGTACTTAGCACCATGGCATATCTGTAATAAGCACATGCACACATAGAAGGAGGTCTTCAACACATAAGTTGACCATGGCCCACTCTGGGCTCCAGTCCTCTTCAAAGATGTAGGGCAGGGATCACCAGCTGTCAGCACAGCACCATCCCACATTGCGCTTCTAATGGAGCCTTTCAGCCCAGATGTTCTTTCTCGTCTGGTCGTCTGGTGGTAGGAATCTAAGTACGTAAAGACGATGTTCTAGATCAGCTTTGGTCTATCCTGAAAGAAATTCACCAATGGCCTATTCCATATAGATAAAAGCTAGTTTCTCTAGTCTTTCTGGATGTGTCTAGAAAGCAAGTACATTATTTATTTGCAAGTTATAGTGGATCAGTGTAATGGATTAAAATACAATCAACATAATTTGGTCATTGTGAGCATGCCAGCTGGGTCCACTCTTCACCACACGTTACGATACTCTAGATTTTCTTACAGCCTAGAGAAAGGCATACTGTTGGATGTCTGGACTAGGGAAACCTGTATGAAAAACCATTCGGCCACTCTACATGCTTTTATTAGAGAATTGAAATCATCTGTATTCAAGGTTATCACTAAAAGGTAAGAAGTTACTTTTGTCATTGTGTTAATTGTTTTCTGGTTTTGTAGATATTTTGTTTCCTTCTTTTATTGTTTTCTTTATGGTTTGCTGAGTTTCTGTACTGAGAAGCTTTGATTCCTGTCTTCATTTCATTGACAGAGCTGATGTAATTCTTTCCCTTTGGTTACCCTGTAGCTTACAGTTAAAATTTATAGTTATGATAGACCATTTAAAGCTGATAAAAAGTTGTGATCACACATGAACATGGCTATACTCCCACCACATCCCATGCCAATGCACAAAATTTATACTTTTTGCCATGATTTACATTGTTCTGTATTGTGTATTTGTTAAGAACTGATTGTAAATATAAAAATAAAGGATGTTCAACTTTCTCAAGGGTGATTTGAAAGATTCTGAAGGATCATTTCAGTAATGTACAATTCTCAATTTTTATGTGAATTTACTTTTAACAGTTAGGTTGATAGTGTCCTATGTTTTTATGTATTAGTAGTTATTGTTCTTTCACTTGTGATTGAAGCACTCCCTTAAGCATTTCCTATCAGGCTGGTCTTATGGGGAATTCCGTCAACATTTGCTTGTTTGGGAAAGACTTTCTTTCTTTAATTTCTGGTGGGTAGCTGTGCTAAGTACAGTACTCTTTGCCGACAGATTTCTCATTAGCGCTTTGAATATATAATCCTAATCTCTGAGCCTTCGGGGTTTCTGCTGTGAAAATTCCTGATGGTCATATGGAGACTTGCTTACTTGTGATTTGATGCTTCTTTCTTGCTAATTTTAGAATTTTTTTCTTTATGTTTGACTTTCGACAAATTGATCATAATATGCCTGAGAAAAGACCTTTTTGGCTTGACTGTGGATGAAACCCTTGAAGCTTCACAGATCTGGATGTCCCTATCTCTCCCGAGAATTGGGAGATTTTCAGCTATTAATTTGTTGAGTAAGTTTACTGTGTTTTTGTCTCTTCTCTCTGTTTCTCTTCTATATCACCAAAATCTGTTATCTGAATGGCATGGCATAAGTCTCATAGGCTTTCTTTTGATTCTTTTTTTTCTCCTTTTTTCCCTCAGGCTGGGTTATTTTAAAAGTCCTGTCTGCAAGTTCAGAAATTCTTTCTTTCTTTCTTTCTTTCTTTTTTTTTTTTTTGAGACGGAGTTTCACTCTTCTTACGCAGGCTGGAGTACAATGGCGCGATCTCGGCTCACCGCAACCTCCGCCTCCTGGGTTCAAGCAATTCTCCCGCCTCAGCCTCATGAGTAGCTGGGATTACAGGCACGCGCCACCATGCCCAGCTAATTTTTTGTATTTTTAGTAGAGACGGGGTTTTACCATGTTGACCAGGATAGTCTCGATCTCTTGACCTTGTGATCCACCCGCCTCGGCCTCCCAAAGTGCTGGGATTACAGGCTTGAGCCACCGCGCCTGGCCAGAAATTCTTTTGTCTGATCTAGTGTGCCGTGGAAGCTCTCAGTTTTACTTTTTATTTCATTCATTCAGTTCTTCTTCCTAAGGTTTGTGTTGGCTGGTTGGTTTTCTTTAATGATGTCTATGTCTTTGTTGAATTTCTCATTCAGATTATGGCTTTTTAAATTGTTATTTGATTAAGTTGTCTATATGTACTCTCTTGTATCTGATTGAATTTTCTTAAGATCAGTATTTCAAATTCCTTTTGAGGCAATTTGAAATTTTCATTTATTTAGGGTAATGTTCTGAAGAATTATTGTGCACCTTTGGTGGTGTCAAGTTTCATTGCATTATCATGTTTCTTATCTCCTATATTTACATTTATGATACTGTTGACATGGTCACCTTTTCTAACTGTATAGAGTGGCTTATGTGAGAGGGACTTTCACCTGGAGAGGTATCTTAGGGTGTCAGTTGGATGGGCTGCCTCTGCTTTAGTTCTAGGAGGACACAGTAATGTAGTATCTGTGCTTTTCTCTTGCCTTTTTATTTTCTTTTGCTATTATCCATTTTGGTGATACCTGTGAGTGCCCCGGTGACCTGGACTGCAGCCGCATGTGCAGTTTGTTTGCTTGCGGGCTGCAGGAAGGCGGTCTCAGGAAGCTGCATGCCGAGCTAGTGAGAGTGTTACTGAGTCACAGGGGTTGGTTTACCAGTTTCACACGAGACTCTCCTGGAAACACTCTCTTGGCTGTGGGTTACTGGGGCTGGTCTGCAGGTTTTGTATGGGGATCTCCGGGAAGCAACAGGCCCAGTTGATGAGCACACTGATGGCACAAGAAATCATTCCACAGTTAGAGTTTGTTTCTATGATATAGAGAGCTATAGCTGCTTTCCTGGAGAATTCTGTTGTCATGACAGGGTAGCCTCTGGGATGGAAGGAGGCAGTGACCACTAGTTCATGGAGCAGAATAGACTCAGCTATGGCTTGGCTTTCCAGATGGTGCTGCATGTGGGCTCCTCCTCTGGGGCAGTATAGCCCTGTGGGCATCAAGCAGCTCCCTAAACTGAGCTCAGAATCTGTAGAGACTACAGGACTTCCCGGCAACAAAGAATGCAGGTATCCGCAATGTTAATGGGACTGCTGGAGTCTGTTTGCTTACGTTTTCCCGTGAAGGAAATGGTCGTCTTGCTCCCAGCTGGTCCCGACTAGGAAGATGGTGTGTCACAGCAGGGTATTTGGATCTCCTCTCTATCTGACCACCTCTACAGGTTTCCTTGACCCACAGGTTTTCTGTTTCTTCTCTGCTGTCCAGAGTTTTCTCTCAAACACTCCAGTTCAAATGAATTTGTTTAGTCACTGTTTTTGTCCTTTATTCTGGAGGGCACAGGCATTCCCCTCCTCTCATGTGCCATCTTGTTAGGCCATCCGTGATCTTATTTTTAAAAAGTGGGAGGAATGAAATGGAAGAGAATGTAATCATGTAGAATAGAATTGAATATATGAGAGCACGTCAAGGATTATTTCATAAAACTTTTGTTTCACTTGTATATATGGGGGTACTCAGAGACACAATATAAATTTTCTATTTTTACTTAGGGTCAAAAAGTTTGAGTTTTTAGGCATATATAATATGTTAGTAGCAGCTCTATAGAATAAACCTGTTGAAATGGCAACATGAGGGAGTGGTCTCTTGTCTTTTTGGTATAAAAATGGGTCTTCTATTAATATATTTCAATCAGTGGTATAACTTTCATATTCCTGTCTCTATTCTCAGTCCCTCCACTTACCACAGTATCTCTTGTCCTCACTCTTAGGGTCAGGGTTTTAGGCCTCACCTTTCCTGCATCGGGAGAAGCTGACATTGATCCATGCTGTGCTCATGCTGGTTTTTGCAAACCTGAAGCTCCATTTCTCATGATTGGATTATGTGCTAATTTCCTCAAACCTCTTTACCCAGTTTGGTAAAGCAAATCCCACCAACCAGCGGCGATGAAGGGGCCTTTGCAAGATCACTAGAACTTTCCTTGCTTCCGGGGCCAGGCAGAGCCTGTGCCTTCCATAGAAAGAGCTGGAGAGATTGACTCACTGCTGAGGAGGCTGCTCCTCTTTCCTTAGGACTGGGAACAATTTTTGTATTTCAAATAAGCTGTTTGTTCCCTATAGAGGGTCTTCCAGATCTAAGGATTTGTAGCTGCTTTGAAATCATTTGAAAGACATATGGAGGCAGATTGCTTCAGTAAGTACACCCCAGAGAGGGCCTGCACCCAGACTTCACCAGCACCACCCAGTGAGCCTCTTTGTGTTGCCTCTGGCATTTGGCTTGAGTTTCAGGGGACTCCTTTCTGGTGGGACTCAGTATAAGGTGGCTGCATGGACATGTTTTTATCCTAGTGCTCTAGGACTAGGAAGGAAGAGTAGAGAAACAAGGAGAAGGCAGGTGACGAAGGCTTGTTATGAGCAAATTGGACCACATTGATTTCATGAAATTCTTACTGTTTCAATGATTTGCTTAAAATTTTGTTGTACAAATTGCAAAAACAATTCAAAGGTGACTTATAGAATATTTACAAACTTCAGAAGACTGAAAAATCAGACACTAACAATTTATTGCAGTATATAAAATAGTAGATGATCTTTTGGAATGAGACTGTTCTTAGATGGAAGAATATGACTTAACATTTCATGTTCTCAAGTTATACATATTTAGCATAATTACAGGAAGCAACTGAATAAGAATAAAATTTTTATGGAAGACAAAACATACACATATATATAGCCTTAAAGAGAGATATATATATACACATATATATATGTATATATATATATAGCCATATAGAGAGCCTTATATATAGTCATATATATATTTAGTCATATATATATATAATCATATATATAGCCATCATTAAGGCTATATATTTATATATATGATTTTAGATGTATATATACACATACACAATCAATACAATTAAATAAGAGGTACAGAAGTTTGAACAGCAGTGTTGGTGTTGGCCTCTGGAGCTCTTCCTCATGTGTACACTGAGCTGATTCTTTATCTCCTTCAGGCCTTTGCTCAAAAATTCCTTCTAAGTGGTGTCTGCCCTGGTCTCTCTTCCCACTTGAAATGGGAGCCTGTTTTCCTCTGCATATACCCACACCATCCGGACTCCTCTTTTTTTGCCTTTCTTTTTCTGCCCATAACACTTAGCAGCTTCCAACACACTTCTGAAGTATTCACTCATGTTTATTATGTGTGTCCTCCTCATCCTGTGTATTAGTCCATTTTCACACTGCTATAAAGACCTGCTTGAGACAGGGTAATTTATGCAGAAAAAAGGTTTATGACTCACAGCTCTGCATGGCTGGGGAGGCTTCAGGAAACTTACAATCATGGTGGAAGATAGAGAGGAAGCAAAGCACATCTTCCATGGCAGCAGGAGCGAGAGCACATGGGGAAACTTGTCACTTTTAAACCATCAGATCTCCTGAGAACTCACTCTCATGAGAACAACATGGGGGAAACCACACCCATGATCCAATCTCCTCCCACCAGGTCCTTCCCTGGACGTGTGGGGATTACAATTCAAGGTGAGACATGGCAACACAGAACCAAAGCTTATTATCCCCCACCAAAAGTAGAACGCACATTTTAAATATACAGATGGATAATGGCCAGACCATATATGAAAATAGAATTCTGAGCTGGGTGTGGTGGTGTGCACCTGTAGTCCCAGCTGCTCCAGAGGCTAAGGCAGGGAGCTATGACCATGACTGGGATGAGCCACTGCACTCCAGCCTGGACAACATAGCAAGACCCTGAGTCTAAATTAATTAGTTAACTTTTTAAAACTAAAAATAGCACTCTGACTCGCAACCTGCCCAGAAAACCAACCTCTTACCCCCAATAAACAACCCAGGAAGACAGCCTGCTGTCAGTCAGCCTGGTAGGAAGTCACACTGCTCTCTCTGACAA